AGGTAAAGATGGGCTATTATTAAAGCCATGGTGTCCAGGGACACGACAGCCCTGTAAAATTGTCCCCCTTGAATACAATTAGAATCAATAAGCAGAATCTTCCTTCCCATTTGCAGAATCTCTGTCACCATGGGGAGGGGACTGAATCTTGGTTTGAACCACCTGCCTGCACGCAGCTAACGTGGTGGTTCACTAGTAGTAAAATCATTAACTTTTCCAGGTATCTTTGTCCACAATTGTGTCATATTTTAGGAAATCCAAGGAAGCTGGAAAATGCTTGAATTTTCTGACATTCCTCTAATTCCTTAGAATTGCATTTAAAAAAACTAATTCAGAGTGGCATTTGTGCATGGAGGCCTGATTTTGATAGCATGTTGTCAAAGAAGGGAAGAAACCTGAGAGTTCCCACTGTGAAGACAGAGGGGACAGAAGATGGAAGTAATCACATCCTGCTTAGACACAATTACTGTTGCTCAACCAGCTAAGATCAACAGAGATCAACAGCATGATGTTGGGGTTGGGGAATTTCTGTTCAACTTGCCTTTGAGGGTTAATGGGAAGAGAGGGTCATCTCCTCATGCCAGGAAATGTGCAAATATGCCCTAATGGTTCCCAGCCATACACAACAGGGTCTCCCGGACCTCATTCACCTGATGTGCAGAAATGCTTTGTGAACCGACAGACGACTGAAGCTGTTTCCAATAAAAATTTCCTGTTTCCGCCTTACATTTGTCTGTTGTTTGCTTAGAGAAAACCCAGGTATAAAAGTTTCATTGTATTTCCATTGTATTTTTAGTTTCTAATGGCATTTTCGCCCAGTGGGGAATGTTTTTTATAAAATCATCCTCATAGTTGTCACACTACCACCCACCTATACTAAAGAGAAAAATCATGGCCTTAGAGCCAATTGAGGCCCCCCAAAGTAAGCATCAGACAGGTGTTAAGGTGACTGAAGTAATGGAATTTATATACGGTTTTCTTTAATATTTTAAGTTTTGTTCATTGTTACATACAGTATTTTTAAAGGGAAGACTTGTCTTGCAGGAAGAAACTTGGATTTCTCACTTTTCATTCCCTTACCTGCTCTGGCACTTGAATGTAGAAAGATTATATATATATATATATATATATTTTTTTTTTGAGATGGGGTCTTGCTGTGTTGCCCAGGCTAGTCTCGAACTAACTCTGGGCTCAAGGAATCCTCCCACTTCAGTCTCCCGAGTAGCTGGGACTATAGGCAAAAAGCTTGTTTTTAGGAGAAGTGATTACTTCTCTGCCTGTTTCCCCATGTGTTTAACTTGGGAGCGATATTAGTAATCCACATTTTAGAACCCGTATGAGAAGTAAATGAACTAATATGTATTCAGGGCTTAGACATGACCTTACACACATTAAGCACTCAATAAAATCAGCCATTGATAGAACTGTTGAGAGGCACCTGGGAAGACTACATGGACCAGGTAGCATTTGATCTGGCTCTTGAAGGATGAATGAAATTTGAGATTGAGCACATGGAAGGGCGCCTCAGGCCAGTGACTTCAGGGTGGTGTGCATGGAGATGAGCACAGGTGTCGTTTGGGTAGGATGCAGAAATACAGGGAGCTAAAAAAAATTAGGTTGGATGCCACACGGAGAGCCTTGAAAACCATGCAGAGGTGTCTAAACTTAATTTTTTTTTTTTTTTAGGCAGTGGAGCTCCAGCAAAGTTTGTGAGGGAGAGACAAGACCAAAACTGTAACTCAGGAAGTTTGATGAGCCAGGGTTGCTGGATGCAGTGTTTTAGTTAGGAGACAAGAGTGAAAAGTAATGGCCTGAATCAGGGAGTGAAACTAGAAGGGTGTTCCTTACCTCTGCAGTCCCTAATACCCCCAGGCTGAGCACCAGCACTGGTCCATGCCCTGTTAGGAACCAGGACACAGAGTTCTGCCTGCCTCCCATCCGTGGAAAAATTGTCTTCCATGAAACTTAGGAACGGGGCCGCAGTAGGTGAGCGGCAGCAGGTGAGTAAGCAGAGCTTCATCTGTTATTTATAGCCACTCCCCATTGCTTACGTCACTGTCTTAGCTCCGCCTCCCACCACCCCCTTAGGTGGAAAATTGTCTTAATGGAACTGGTCCAAACAGTTGGGGAACGTTATACCTACCTAACTTGCATGTAGACATAGGTTCATTTCATATTAAATAAAACTAAAATATTGATTTTTTTTTTTAAATCAGTGCTTATATTAGATTGTTAGTACTTTCCCTTGACTTGTTAGTTGGAAAGGGTAGGAGTAAGGTCAAGTATCCCATTTTCTAAAGAATATGTGACAACTTTTAAAAGGTTTCTAATTCTGATTTCTTTCTATAGAAAGAGAGGGTTAAGTTCTCGTTTGTTGTCCAGCCTAAGTTTTCATGAGTGGACATTTTTTCATGTGAAGTAGTTATAATATTTGTCTCCCATGGTTTCATATCTGAAAGAAAGATAAATTCTCATCTAGGGTGAAGAAACAGAAGGGTAAAATTACTGGACCTCTGTAGTGCTTGAAAGTACTGCTTTTGGCCGGGCGAGGTGGCTCACACCTGTAATCCCAGCACTCTGGGTGGCCCAGGCGGGCGGATTGCTCGAGGTCGGGAGTTCGAAACCAGCCTGAGCAAGAGCGAGACCTTGCTTCTACTATAAATAGAAAGAAATTAATTGGCCAACTAATATATATAGAAAAAATTAGCGGGACATGGTGGCGCATGCCTGTAGTCCCAGCTACTCGGGAGGCTGAGGCAGGAGGATTGCTTAAGCCCAGGAGTTTGAGGTTGCTGTGAGCTAGGCTGATGCCATGGCACTCACTCTAGCCTGGGCAACAAAGCGAGACTCTGTCTCAAAAAAAAAAAGCAAACCTTCGCCTGTTCACATCATTTCTTTAACCAAGCGACCTTAAGGATGATTATTTGACACAGATTTTTAGATCAATTTTTGGTCATTTGGGGGCATCTCATTCTCTTAGTGGTAGAAAATAAGAGAGTTACAATACAGCAATAAGATCGGGAATGTGCTCTAAATAGATGGCAAAATGGACTAGTGAATTTATGTCTAATGAATGCTTTTATACATGTGCTGCCCGAGTGTCATGTCTGGCTACAGTCAAAAAAGAGTGGATGTTGAGAATTTCTAGTTACCAATCATTTAAGTAAAATACTAACAAAAAAAAGCAAGCACATTTACTTTTTTTTTACTCGTTTTTTTGTTATTTTATTTTCAAAGTAAAAACAATTTCCTCTTTTTCCTAGATACAAAAATAATGCACATCCATTATGAAGAAATGGAAGCACATTTACTTTTAAACAATCTATTGTTCGATGTCTAAAAATCTGTTCAATAAAATAACCTCTAAAATGGCGAGAAGAAATGAGTTATTTAAAATATTTTTTACAGCAGACTTTTTTATTTCCATATCTATTTTGGGGGGGTAGAGGGAGAATGCAAAGAGATAGGGAAAAAGTAATTTCCTCGTTCTTTAAAATAAAATATTGAGTTTCTATATGTTTTTCCAGCAATAAAACTTTATAATTTTATTTCAAATTTCCTTAATTTCTTGCTGAGACAAGGTGTGGATATACATGAAAAAAATGTTAAGCTCAGATGATTCACTTTGGACAATTTTATATATTCTTTTATTTATTACAAACACTGAAGTTCTTCCACATTTATGTCACTCAGTCGTTCATCACCAATGCAGCCTTGAATCTTGGGTTTAATAATGCTGCTTTTATCACTACACTGAAAAGATCCGTGAAAGTCAACTTTGCCATCCCATTCATTTCCACTCTACTGACATGGTTGTTTTTTAGTTTGGCTATTAACTAACTCATCAGAAGACGGCAGGTTGTTTTTTTTCTCTTTGGTGGGCTCAGTAAGAACATTCCCACTAGCTTTAATGAATTTGTTTTCTTACTTACCTGTCTTTAAAGGCCAAGGAACTCATGAAATCATAGGTGAAAAATGCTTTGAAACCATAAATTTTCAAGAGGCAAAAGTAGGATGTGTATACTTCTACTGCTGCCTATTGGTCTCCCATCTGGCTCAGAGGAGAGATGCTTAATGAAGACTTGAATCTGGGATAGATTAAGCAATGTCCTTTATAAATGAGTGAATAGCCTTACATAACTAAATACTCTAATGGCCTGGGGATGGAGGGAGGAAGAGTTGAAAGGAATATTCTTTGTGCCAACGGAGAAACTAATTAATGTGCCTACGACCTCCTCTGTGAGTCAGTTTTAACGGGATTGTAAATATGTGCTTGAGTGAGTTTTTAACACAGTGTGTCAGTTGCTCTTGGCCTTTCTGTTTATCAATACTATCTACAAGATGTTAAAACCACAGGGAAGTCGAAGCTTTATTAGCCATTTCAGCCTGCCAAGATTGTGGGATTTATTGACTTCATGCCCTCCACATTACTTGACAGCCAGTACCTCTCCTACTGGATTAATACCCAGTTAATAGCCATGCACCTAAAGGCACAATGTCATATTGGGGGCTTTTAAACCACCTGTCCTATGTGGGTCAGAAAGTCTGTTACTTTGCTCAGTTAAATCTATTTTAGTATGTCAGATATACTTGGTGGCCTTTTGTTGAAGTGAAAAGCAACCAAGTGAGAGCCCATCCAGGCTTATAAAATTATTTAATCCCTCTTCAACTTTCTCATTATGCCTTATTTTCACAACTATTTGTAACCAGAACGCTTCAGAAGCAGCACCTAGTAACTTACTCCTGGGACCCCATTTTTATTTTTTTGTAAAGGAAAAATACATAATTATGTAAATGTGAAAAGATGCATAAACATTTAAACCATTTTGAATTAAGTGGGTTTGTTTTGGGGTTTTTTGTTTGTTTGTTTGTTTGTTTTGCTAATCTATATTTTCTACAGAGGTCATGTTTTGCTTATATAATAAAATCAAAGTTTATTAAGGGAAAAAGAAGCATACTGAGGACATGGCTAAATAGTTCTTTCTTCTCTTCTGTTCTAGAAATCGAAGCCAAGGAAGCATGTGATTGGCTACGGGCAACTGGTTTCCCCCAGTATGCGCAACTTTATGAAGGTAAGCTGGAAATGACATCCTTTTTAAATGGCATAATCATAGCACTTGGTTCATGATTATTATTGATCTGTGACTTATTTTCAGAAATTTTATTATTTAAATATTTTATTTAAAAATATAATGTAGGCCGGTCACTGTGGCTAACACCTGTAATCCTAGCACTTTCGGAGGCTGAGGCAAGACGATCTTTTGAGATCAGGAGTTCGAGACCAGCCTGAGCAGGAATGAGACCTCATCTCTGCAAAAAATAGAAAAATTAGCCTCATGCCTTCTTACTACAGTCCCAGCTACTCAGGAGACTGAGGCAGGAGGATGGCTTGAGCCCAGGAGTTTGAGGTTGCAGTAAGCTATGATGATGCCACTACTCTCCAGCCTGGGTAACAGAGCAAGACTCTGTCTAAAAAAGAAAGAAAGAAAAGAAATAGATACTTAATGATTTATAAGAGCTCTTTATTCTAAATACTAATCTTTCGTTGATGGTGTGCTGTAGATGCCTTTCCCACAGTTTGTCATTAGACATTTCACTTTTCTTTATGTTGTCTTCTGATGAATATTATTTTTTCTGCAGCATTCAATTTTTTAATTAAGAAAAATGGACCTTTGTAAAGAAAATATTAGGATCTGGGCTAGATTCTTACTACTGCTTTAGTGCCCTGGGATTTCTTGGATGCTGAGGCTAACAGGTGAACACCTTAACTCTGGCTCTATTACCCTGAGGAGCGTGTGCTCTTTGCTTGCTGAGATGAATGGGCTGTTCACGTAAATAGGAGTTTTATTATACTCTCTATGAAATCAGTTTAAAACAATTACAGCTGCGAAGTAGTGAATTCTATTTTATGGGTAATTTTCAAAGACTATGTGAATAGTGAAGTGATTTCTAATTTACAGTACCTGGTCTTCCTCATTGCAACCCAGATTAATTATATATTATTTTTCCATAAAGATGGATTCTGAATTAAATCATTTTGTTAGATTATATAAAAATACTTTACTATTCCTCCATTTCAGAGAATATTTCTAATTCCTTTCCTTTTTTTTTTTTTAAGGTATTTGGAGTTGCTTATCTTTCCTTTGGAGAGAATTTTAGATCTGTTAACATTCAGTAGGGCTTTGGAGGGGAGGGGAGCAGCATTCTATTGGATTTTCAATTCACAGCTCTACTGGAGATAGAGAAAGACAATTGCAGTTGCAGTGGCACTCAAGTGGCTGTCCTTTTGTTCTCCTGTTTAGAAATTAAATTTCCTTCAATTATGCCTATTTTTGGTGTTAATTTGCTGCCAAGGGGCACTGTCTTGTGATGTATGTTGCTAAGACCCAATTTTAGTCTCTGTTTCACTTTTTCCCCAATCCTAAAATGCAGACTGCATTTTTACAAGTTGCATTTGGGGTCCCTTCATGTTTACGACTCTTTTGAAGCATAAACCTACTTTTGAGGTACGCTGCTTATTGTTCCGGAAATCTGGGCTAGCACAGCTTCCCTTCATCCCGCCACTGTGTGCAGGGGGAGTACGTATATCCCATACACCACATACCAGCCCACACATTCCGTGCCTTCCTGTTTAGCTTTATTTTGGTACTTAGCAATTTATACTTCCTGCCTTTCAACCCAAGCTGGAAGTTGGGTTCAGAGAACTTCTGTATACATCAATAAACTATCATCTTTTAAAAGCTAGTCCTTTCAGAAAAGTGTCTCAGCAAATAAGAGACAATTATTAATTTAATTCTTTCCCTCCTTACTTGAATTTAGTCCCTACCAGGTTTTAAAAAAAGAAAAACAGAAAAAAAAAGAGTTGTAAAGTAATTTGGATCAGAAAAGTAATCTAAAATACAGCTGAGTACAAAAAGTTAGAAATTGCTAAAATAACACAGTCACTTTCTCCCATACGTGGAACAGGCATGTGAGCTTTTCAGTTTACATTTATAGATCTGATGTTATAATGAAAAATACAGTCTTTAATATTGGCTCTATTATTTAATAATGAGAGCTCTTTGTCTTTTCATAGTGAAACACAGTGTCACAGCCATCAACTAGTTTTAGTCTGTCTTGCTTCACTTACTGATACTGTAGTTTACATTGACTGTTTAGCCTCCTCCTGTATTTCTGCCATAACAGTGCCACTGATCATTTGCTTAAGAGAGACGTGGTATATAAGTTAATAAATGTAATCCTGTGATACTCAATTTTATATATTCCTAAATCTTTGGTCTATAGCTACTTCCTTGGTCTTCTGATATTATTCATGGAATAACCTCAGTAATCCAACTCTAGCCTTCAGAAAAAAGAATAGGCTATCAATTAATACTCCTTATGATAGTTTGTAACACTGTAAAAAAAAAAGGCATTCTTTAAGTATTATCTCTAGAAAATATTTAATAGATTGCTAGGAATAAAGAATTCCATACCATTCTATACAACCAGTGATCATGAGTTAGAAACAATAAAAACACAATGAACAGTCTATGCATGCCCAAGAACTAAAACATTACTAATCACCTGCATCTCCAAATTACTGACGGCCTTCTATATTACCATATATACAGCATTGGCCATTTTGAAGGCCAAAGGGATTCTTTAGATTATGGTGATCCCGGTTTCCTGCTTGCCCATGCCCAGCCCCCAGAGTTGCACAGAGGCACTCTTACTCTTGATATTGTGCAAGCCTTCTACTGGGAAGGCCCATTATTTACCCTAATAGCTGGAACTCCTAAGCGCGAGATAACTCGCCTTTATCTAGTGGCAGTTTCAGAGCCGTTGTAAATTTTCACAGTGGTGCTGTTGGTCTTTCTCCTCTGTGTTCTTCTTGGGTGAATTTATCTACAAAGGGATCTTTTTAGGCAGAACAGAAAAGGGAATTCTTCCATCGAATTGACTGTTTACCCCCTTTCTGGTTTTCAGTTGTGATACAACTTCTTTATTGTTCAGAGAGAATTTGAACTCTTCTACAGATTAAGGGATTTGGGATTCTCTTGTTCTGAACCAACTTTATAGCTAGCCCCTTTTGTTTTAGGGGGAATTATATAAATGCCTGAAAAGCCATATTGAAGTGCTAATATTTGTTTAAAAATAGTATATCTAGATTTCTCCTGAGCTCTTGATATCATGCAAATGGACCAGATTCCATTTACTACCACTTGCCATTGTTCTGGAGATCTTTACTTGGCCTAGAGTTTTTTTGTCTTTTTCCTTCTTTGTAAACTCATCCCTGATCACATGTGAGCAAAGACACACATTTAAAAAATAAATTAAAAAAAAAAAAAAAAACACCTCAGCCACATTAAAAGGGAACATCCTTCTGGAATTCATTCTGGCTTAAATTACCATTTATAACAGTGGTTTATTGCCTGCTTATTTGCTTAAAGGTGGAACAGTATTTTGAACCACTTCTGTTTGACAAGAAGCAGTGAGATTCCAGGCACCAGAGAGCCTGTGCTGCTTTAGGACACTATACTGAGTCGCTTTATTCTCCCACAGAACTTGGTAGGGAATGAGATGTCCTGCACACAGTATGTTCTCAATAAATTGCTTTGGACATTTACCCCCCCCCCTTTGCTAAACTGGGCTACTTGGCAATAACATAGGTGCTCAATAAATATATTTGTCTTTATTTTTCTTATAGATCTCTTGTTCCCCATTGATATTTCCTTGGTCAAGAGAGAGCATGACTTTTTGGACAGAGATGCCATTGAGGCTCTATGCAGGTAACATGCATGCTTTGTTTTGACTTTTTATTTTCTTTTCCATTTTTTAAGAACACAGTAATGATCACTAAGATAGGTTGTGTTTGCTTTTGTTCTAGCTAATTATGCTATGTCTTTGGTTAGCAAATAGTACAGTGATTTACTTCGCTATAAATCATAGACATTATCATTAAAAATTAAGTAACATACCATTATTTGGTATTGCCATTAAAATAACATCCACACTGTCCGGGCAGGTACTCAACCAATACCATTCCTTATTTGATACGATATGATTGCCGAAACTGGTAACTTTCAGGTGATTTGGAAACTTGGAATAAGATTTTTTAAAAAGTGATAAGATTGACTGTACAGCCCTAACCAAAAACCCCAACAGAGTCAGGGCTGCTGTTGTATTGCATGGAAATTCAGCACATTCCAAGGAATAAATGAGGCCTGGGGGTTATGACGTTTAGAGACAGGACCATCCCTTGAATTCCAGGAACACTCCTGATGCTCTTTAGTTTCCCCAGGTATAAAATAAAGATAGGATTAAATTAGGCTATAAAATAACTCAGCACAGTCTTTAACATACAGGAAACAGACAGTAAATGATGTGCAACGTGAATAAAACTGTCAAATTCTTGTTCATGGTGCTGGTGGGTCTTCAAGTTGAGTAGCAGCTTGTAGGTTTTAGTGAAGTGGAAGTAATAAAACCTGTAGGGGACAGGACACTGATGACTCTTGCAAACTAAACTCTTCATGACTGGTTTTTTTTTTTTTTTAGACAAGAGTCTCATTCTGTTTCCCCAGCTAGAGTGCAGTGGCATCATCATAGATCACTGCAACCTTTAATTCCTGGGCTCAAGAGATCCTCCTGTCTCAGTCTCCCAAGTAGCTAGGACTATAGGCACATGCCACTGCACCCATCTGATTTTTCTGTTTTTAGTAGCGATGGGGTGTCTCTTGCTCAGGCTGGACTCAAATTCCTGAGCTCAAGTGATCCTCCCACCTCAGGCTCCCAGAGTGCTGGGATTACAAGTGTGAGCCTCTTCATGACATTTTGATTCATTTTAAGTTATTCATCCTTTGTAATTTTTCTCAAAACATAAAAGTCCTAAAAACTGAATTCTGGGAAAAGAAATTATACACAGACAAAATTCACATAGATTCATTTGATTGTAAAACTAAAATACATTTTTTTTTAAATTTCAGTATTCATTTTTACTTGGAAAAACATCAGTAAGGTAAAATGACATCCCATATTTCTTTCCTCTTTATAGGTAAAGAAATGAGTGGTGGTTCTTGAAAAAATGATTTTTGGTTTTTTGCCTTGCAATATTATTTGAAGCAGCCAACTTTAAGCAGTGATTTGCAGGAAAGATAACATATTTAGAATGGTATGTGGAATAGACTAGTTTTCATGGTTTAAGAGAGAAAAAAAATATCACATTAACCACAGAGACAAACACTGCCACTTTTCTAGTCCAATTAAGTGACCTCTTAGAAATATACAGGGTATGTACACATTTTCTAAAAGAAACCTAATTGCAAGTCCTGTGCTGTGGTGTGTAATATCACAGCTATGGCATCTAGAATGAAAAAATGTCACTGATGCAGTTTTGGGAGGAGAAAACGTCAGCCTCTGGAATATGAATTACACTAGACATTTTTTAAATGTTTTAATGCTTAGCTGTGGAGCAGAATTAATTTATTTTCAATTCATCACTGTTGATAATGCATATAAATGATTTCACTCCTAAGATGCATCTTAAGAAATATTTAAGCATTGCATCAGATCAGCCATTTCACACATTGTAAGGCACTTAGGGAATGGACCCTCTGAACAGCTTAGGAATTCCTAGGTCATAAAAATATCACTGCAGAATTTCAGCTCGAAGGATCATGATTAAATTCTTGAATACTTTTCCTTTTTCCTTCGGAATAGAAATTTGAAATTTAGTTTTCCTCTTCTGAAGGGAAAAGTGTCCTGTGTACTTTGTGATTTATATTGGCTCTGAGTACCTTTTGAGAAATCACCTCCCTTTGAAGGGAATAAATCTGTCTTCCTAGATCTTTTTTGAAAGAAAAAGCCAGAAAGAAACTGGAGCTTCATCTGTTTTCAGACTCTACAGCCTATTCTGGTTGGACTTCAGTTTTCTTTCATAGGTAGAATAACATCTCACATGTTAATCTGTGAGAAGAAAATGCAGTGATGGATGTCGGAGTGGCCTTAAAAATTATCAGAAAAAAAAAATTAAATTATCAGGCCCAAATCTGAGTATGCACAGAAAGGCTTGGGGGCAGATTTTCAAAAAAATGAAATTTTTCAGAATTCACAGTAACAGTCATCAACTTGTTTGCAATGGAAAGCTCAAGGGCTCTCGTCCACATGTTCACATAAGTAGATGTTTCAAGAATATGATTCCCCTTTTGAGAAGCCTAAGCCAATGTTCTGGAGAAAAGAGATGTGAACCCTACCTATACTGTGTATTTTGAGCACCTTCTTTGAAATGCATTCCAAGTTCTGAGTTGTCAGCAGTGTAGCTGAGGTACTTGTTTTACTTATTGTGTGATAGTCACCTCATTTGCTAGACCTGCCTATTCCAAATAACTTCTCAGCCTGTGGAATTCAGGGGCCAGCAAATAATGAAACTATGGTGTCCTTCGAAATTTTGCCCTGTGACTTGTGAAGTTCTCTCTATCAACTTTTTATATTTTCATCTTTTGCCTTCCTACCAGTTGATTTTAAATATACATGGCAATACAATTACAGAAATTCAATTTTAAAAGTTCACAGAATCTTGCATGAGTTTCTCTTTCCCACCCTTCCTTTTAACCTTGTCTTGGACCGTATTTTGTGCATGGTCCAATGTCACAAATGATCCCATGTATGTGCCAGTACTAGCATTTTGCTTACTTAAAAATATTGATATACCTATAACATTTACAGATTTTATACCTATTTTGATCAAAAAGCAGGTAGGAGCTGATCACTTAACATGTTCTACTTAGGGCAGAAGACATGTAGACTTAATGGGTTTTTTGAGAATGATGATGATACTGCTTTAAATATGAAGTTTGGTAATGACCAAACTTCCAAAGTTACAATATGGGACTACCAGGTTTTTTGGATTTAGATTGCTAACCAGCATTCTTACATTCGTACTGTAAGGGATTTATGGAGAGATTTCCTTGGAGAGATTGGCTCTGGCCCAGTCTTGCTAGCTTTGCTGAATAATCCAATGATAAGGCCAAGATTGTAAGGGAGTTATACTCTGTAGTCAAACTGGAGGAGTGATTAGCTTGTCTTAAAGCACGCACAGATAATATTGTTAATTGTGAACTGTAATCTACTACCAGGATACCTCTTGTGAAATGCTTTTTGTCTTTCTATAAGTTCTGAAAAATATTCCAAATTGCTACTTTCCTTTGGAATTAAAACTTTTAGACTCCTCCTATAAACACATCAAAGAATTATATAAATCAAGTGACGATCATATAATGAAAAATAGATTTCCACACTGTCACCTTCAGCATGCTCTCAGTTATAAAACAACCCTTGAAATGCTTAAGCCATGCAAAGCAGCCTACCTTGTAGTGGAGTTTAACTTTGTTATGATTTCTGGTCTGTTAAAAGGAAAGCAAGTAATTTTTTTCAAGCAATTGCACTAACTCCAGGAAAAGATCTTTACAAATTGGAACAGTTTTCATTTATCAGGTCTTTTGAGGAAATTGCTCCTTTTTCCTTTCTTCCTCTTCTTTTTCCCCCTGTTTTTATTTTGAATACAATGAGACTCAGATCCCAGCCTGCTGTCCTTTTATCAGGGTGCTTGCAAGACTCTTGAACCTTTGATAGCCCACCCTGGGCTCCCTCCCTCTTTGGAGCAGGGTGCAAGTTGCCCAGGAGATAAAGGGACACATTCCTGTGGAGCTGGGCCTGGGAGGGCCCTCAGGGGGATGGGAATCGCCCAGGTTTCTGAACAGATGAGTTCTGATATCAGCACATCAGCCACTATTTGAGGTGTCTTACTTAGGATGTAAGTTGCTCTCATTTATTACAATCATTCATATTTATTTTAGAAAGGAATGCAGAAAATAACTGAGTTTGAGTGCCAGAGCCACCACGTTGTAATCCTGTGGCCTTGGACAAGATTTGTGACCTCTCTAAGCCCCCATTTTCTCACCTATAAAATGAACGTAACGTAAATCATAAAATCTATAGCATAGGGTTGTGAAGATGAGATCCTACATATGAAGTGCCTATCAAAGTGCCTGACCCAGAGTGGGCCCTGACTTGTCTTGCTACAACTATGATTTAATATCAGTTCTGCCTCTCTGTAAGTGAGGTCCCAGCAGTGGGCATTCTTTGGATGTCCTAAAGAACAGATGAAAACCACAGAAACCCCAGGGAATAACTCTGGGCTTCAGAGTTACAATGCCATTAGCTTAGTGCTACCAACATAAAAAGATAATATGGACCTTTATAAAATTGGCCTCCTGGGTCTTTTTTTTTGTTTGACTCAAATCTAGAGTTTGTGAAGTTAAGCCCCTCCCCCACTACCCAGACCTCCATGCCTAGTAAATTTGGTTATAAACACCACTCAACCATTAAAGCCCAAGTGAAGTCAAGTAGGTATTTGATTACAGCTTTGATTAATGGAACCCAGACTTAAACTAACTGTAACCATTCTGGATTCTTTAAATCTTGAAAACATTTGAGAGCCAAAGCACCGTGGGTGTAAGTCATTGAAGTAATTGATGTCCCTAAGAAAGAGACCTTATATCCACTCATTTTAAAGTCTTCAGACTTTTCTTAGTTATTTGTTTTCATACCCTCCCCATTGACAAGAGAGAATTTTTCTGAACATCAGTGCTCTGAGCTATCTCTGTTTATTCTATAAACAGGCTCCCATATAATCTATGAAATCAAAGACAGGCTTATCAGGCAGGCAAGAATACTTTCTATCCTGGTGCATCAAAGTTGCTAGACAAGCTGCAAGAACAGGATTGGGAAGATAAATCTTTGTGGAGGTCTCATGGTCAGTTTGAATTTTTGTGAGTTAAATGCTGTTTCGTAGGAGACTGTGAAAAGGTAAGAATTGCAATTTTAGGAGAAACTGGAAAACTGGTGGGGGTATGTGTGATAGGAGACAGCAGACAGACACATGACAGGTTCATCTGAAGACTAACTGATTATCATCAGGAAGATGTTAGGAAATTTGAGGCCTGAAGGGCTGTCACTCACACTTTACATGCCATTTGGTCCACCATGTTTAAAGAGTTTCTTTTTTCAGCTATTGCATTGTTTCCCTTAAGTTTTTGGTTTTTTTTAAGTATTTCATTTTCAATGAAACTAAATTATTTCTCTTATTTTAAATTAACATTGCCATTTGGCAGGGATGAGAAAAGTATTCACAGTTAAAATGTGACTCCTGTTCCAAAGAAGAATCTGATCTAAGTACTTACTTCTGAACTAATAAGATTGTGATCCTTAAAATAAAAGTTACAGTATACAAATTTTTTAAATGATCATTTATCCTCTTGCTATGTGACTATCCCAATGTTATTTTGTTCTATACAGGAAGTTATAAAAATAATTGAATATTAGAGAGGGTTTCAATTTCCTTTGTGCACAAGAACACTGTAAAATATTAAACAGGCTGTCCAAGATTATCATCGGAGATCTCTAAGGCTTATTTTATTTTTTATTTTAAATTTTGGTTAGAGACAGAATACACTGCTTATTTTGCAGACAACTGTACTTCGTTCCTTGTTGCTGTTTCTGTTTCACCGAAAGGAGACACCATAGGCTTTTATTTCTTGGCACTGTGGAGCTCCCTAATGCTCAACGTAAGGATTATTAGAAGAATAATTATTCTTAGTGAGAACAACTTGTTGAGAAATTTGTTTGTTCCGTGACGAATTAGAGACACCCGACAGTACCATAGCAGTGTGCCATTTCACCATAAAATTCTTCAAATTGTAGTGAATTCTTCAAATATAAGTGAAAAATTAAATATAAAGATATTTTTAAACTATTCACTTTTAAAGAAGTTTCTAATACTCTTCCAGATTACAGATATGAATGGGTTCAAAGAAAGTCATTACATATGCTAATTGTTTGGAAAAAAATATTTATCCACCCATCAGTGAGCAGTTGCCTGTCTTTGCTAATGTTATTTCTTTGCTCTGTAGGCGTCTAAATACTTTAAACAAATGTGCGGTGATGAAGCTAGAAATTAGTCCTCATCGGAAGAGAGTGAGTATATAAATTATATAGTAGGATGGGTGGAAAAGGGGCAAGCCAAAAACCAGATGATGTGTTTGTTTTGTAATAGGTTTTGTCTGTCAAACTCTTATTTTCTATTTCCACAAGTATCTACATTTTTGATATTATAATCTAATCAAGTTTACCAAAGATCATATAGCCTTATGTAATTGGAGACAATAGCTGCAGCTGGCCAATAAATTATTGTATGTACTGTTTTTTACCTGAGAGATTGTCTGTTAATTTGCCTAATAAACTCAATGCCTACTACATAGTAAAAGGATAAGGCTTAAGGAATCCCAGTGCATTTTTGCATCACTCTCTAGAGAAAATAAGCTAAAGTTCTTCTCAAACTTTTCTGTCTTCCCAGATATAAATGACTGTTTCAAAACTGTAGAGATGAAAGGAAAGGCTAGCTGGTGGGATATTGAAGAATAAGAGATTGGGACAGGGGAGGAAAGGAGTTGGGGGAGGAGAGGACAGGAAATCCCACACATTGTAGTCAAATGGTGGCACATAACTGAATTGGGTGGTATTTTCTTCTACGGGTGAGTTGTGAGGGCCTTTTATGAGATCTTAGAAGAGGTGGGTGTAGCGCTGGGAGTGAACGTCTCAAATTAGAGTAAACAGGGTTAAGTTTGGTCAAAGGACATATTTCTCTGACTGTTGAGAGTACGAATTTTAATTATCCTAGGATCCATGACCTGCAAAAAGTTTCCTTCTTGGGGAGTTAAACCTTTTAAACAAATGAACTGGAACCTCAGCACCCAGTGAGCTGTGCAGAAGAGCCCTCCAAGTCAGCGTTTAATGCTCTCTACTCATTGTCCTGTGAAACTCGGGTCATAGGATATTTTCCACACCAGTGGGAAGGATATGTATCATACTGAATGGCGCCTTTTGATATCCTGCCAAAAAGGCCAAGATGCAATAGTCCATGTGACAGCATATCCCTGAGTCCTGCACATAAATCAGGGGTCATCAGCAAAGATGTTACTTGGCGTTTATGAATGTTATGTGCTGTCAGGACCGGGTATTTGTGAAGCCTTGTTAAATGGCCTGGAGCAGGTCTGAGGTTGAAATTCCCCAGGACAGTTGTGGCCTGGGCTCTAGCCCCTGTGTCTGGTGGGGGAGGGGAATGAGGACCAGGTGAGAGGCTACAAAGAAGCTTTAGTGGACAGAAGCCACATGATAGCTCACCTGGTCCCATGTCCCCATTAATCCAGTAGGAGATCTTGTGAATTTTTAGGGTGGCTAGAGATTTAAGTTATCACTCTTCTTAATGTTTGGAAAACCACCTTTTTAATTGCAAAAGGGTATCTAAACACATGCTAACAACAGACAGCAAAACCGGAGGCCATCCAGAGGCAGTCCTACCGGTTGCTGACTCCAGTTCAAAATATTTTGCATGCCTGGAATTTTCACTGATCTCAGAGGTTTCCTCTGTGAGCAATTAAAGAACAGCCTATAGATGCCAGGTTTCCATAAAATTACTCTTTTTTAGCTTGCAACATTTGATCAGGCTTTCTCCTTTTAAATACATCTTTGTTATTTAAAAAAAAAAAAAGTAAGAAAGTCTAAGGGAGGACTAGACCCTGGTGGCATATTCTTAGCAGTCTGGTCCTTAGCACATGCCCACTCCCTGCTGGCTGCCAGTCCCAGTGTGTCAGTGGCTGCTTTCTGTCTTTGCAGAGTGAAGATTCAGACGAGGATGAGCCTTGTGCCATAAGTGGCAAATGGACTTTCCAGAGGGACAGCAAGAGGTGGTCCCGGCTTGAAGAGTTTGATGTCTTTTCTCCAAAGCAAGATCCGATCCCCGGGTCCCCGGATGACTCCCACCCAAAGGATGCTGCGAGCCCCGGGGCCGTGCTGATGGACCTCAGCGAGCGCCAGGAGGTGTCCTCCGTGCGCAGCCTGAGCAGCACCAGCAGCCTCCCCAGCCACGCGTCCCCCAGCGAGGACACCGCGACCCCCCGGACTAACTCGGTCATTAGCGTCTGCTCCTCCGGCAACTTCGCGGGCAATGACGACTCTTTCTGCAGCCTGCCCTCTCCCAAGGAACTGTCCAGCTTCAGCTTTAGCATGAAAGGCCACGAGAAGAATGCCAAGTCCAAGACGCGCAGCCTGCTGAAACGCATGGAGAGCCTGAAGCTCAAGGGCTCCCACCACAGCAAGCACAAGGCGCCTTCCAAGCTGGGCCTGGTCATCAGCGGGCCCATTCTGCACGAGGGGGTGGACGAGGACAAGCTGAAGCAGCTGAACTGCGTGGAGATCTCCGCCCTCAACGGCAACCGCATCAACGTCCCCATGGTACGAAAGAGGAGCGTCTCCAACTCCACGCAGACCAGCAGCAGCAGCAGCCAGTCTGAGACCAGCAGCGCCGTCAGTACGCCCAGCCCTGTCACCAGGACCCGGAGCCTCAGTGCCTGCAACAAGCGGGTGGGCATGTACTTAGAGGGCTTTGATCCCTTCAATCAGTCGACTTTTAACAATGTGGTGGAGCAGAACTTTAAAAACCGCGAGACCTACCCGGAGGACACCGTGTTCTACATCCCTGAAGATCACAAGCCTGGCACTTTCCCCAAGGCCCTCTCCAATGGCAGTTTCTCCCCCTCAGGGAATACCAGCTCTGTGAACTGGAGGACGGGAAGCTTCCACGGCCCCGGCCACATCAGCCTACGGAGGGAAAATAGCAGTGACAGCCCTAAGGAACTTAAGAGGCGCAATTCCTCGAGCTCCGTGAGCAGCCGCCTCAGCATCTACGACAACGTGCCGGGCTCCATCCTCTACTCCAGCTCAGGTGACCTGGCTGACCTGGAGAACGAGGACATCTTCCCTGAGCTGGATGACATCCTCTACCACGTGAAAGGAATGCAGCGGATAGTCAATCAGTGGTCGGAGAAGTTCTCAGATGAGGGCGACTCCGACTCAGCCCTGGACTCAGTCTCTCCGTGCCCATCCTCACCAAAGCAGATACACCTGGATGTTGACAATGATCGGGCCACACCCAGTGACCTGGACAGCACCGGCAACTCCCTGAATGAACCTGAAGAGCCCTCCGATATCCCAGAAAGAAGGGATTCTGGGGTTGGGGCTTCCTTGACCAGATCTAATAGGTAAGAACTTTTCTCCTCCTTCCAGACTAGGGAGAGGGGATGAGAAAGAGACTACTTCTGCTTGTTCTGTGGGGGGAAATGAGCTTAAGTCTGGCATTCATAACCTTGTAAATTCCTAGGGAAGGTGTCAGACCAGGAAATGCCAACATTCAAAAAGAATGGATATTAATTGCATGGGTACAGGGTTCCAGAGGGGGAAGAGGAAAAGAATTCTGGAGATGGATGGTGGTGATGGTTACACAACAGTGTGAATGGACTTCATGCCACTGAACTGTACACCTAAATATGGTTCAGATGGAAGCTGGGTGTGGTGGTTTGCGCCTGCAGGCCCCCTACTCGGGAGGCTGAGGCAGGAGGATCGCTTGAGCCCAGGAGTTGTAGGCAGCAGTGAAATATGATCGCACCACTGCACTCCAGCCTGGGCTACGAGACCTTGCCTCCAAAAAAAAAAAAAAAAAGGTTAAAATGGTAAATTTTATGTTGTGTGTGTGTGTGGGGGGGGAAAGAATGGGATAAAAATTGGGTCCTCTCCGTTCCTAAGATGCCAGCGAGCAGCACGTTGCTGATTTTGTGTCACTCACTGTCCTCTACTTTTCTGTCGCAGGCACAGACTGAGATGGCACAGTTTCCAGAGCTCTCATCGACCGAGCCTAAACTCTGTATCACTGCAGATTAACTGCCAGTCTGTGGCCCAGATGAACCTGCTGCAGAAATACTCGCTCCTAAAGTTAACGGCCCTGCTGGAAAAATACACACCTTCTAACAAGCATGGATTTAGCTGGTGAGAGTTTAAACTGTCATTGAAGATGATATTTTCAGTCAACTCCTTGAGGCTGTCCCCACACCAGCATATGACAGTTCTGTCCTTGATGAATATCTTTAGTCTGTCATCCTACTGCAATCAGTCTCTGCATTCCCGAGGTCACATTTGACACTACTGAAACCAGGGTAGTCTTTAGGGAATTATCAGCATGGGTTAGCTGATTGATTTTTCAGTTCCCTGAGTGACAAATTGCCAGTTGATGGGGTGAGGATAAGAGTGCATTACTCTTATGTCACATGGTGTAGGCACCGCCTTCCCTGTTGTGGAAATAACCCACTGTAGGTAAATATATGCACAGTATCAGATCATATTTATGGAAGAAAGGAAAGAAAAATGTTAAGATGTTATGAGGCCATCTTTGAAATGCTTGATTTACAGCACCTGGCCTATGACGTTATTCATGCATGTTTTGAGAAATCATTTTGGATAAATTTGCAACATCACTCAAAAAACTACCTGTGCAAAAGAGTTGAAGTTATGTATTTTTTTTTCCCAGAAAAGACTCTCCAACAGAGAATAATAAGTTTAAGGAATTCATTACACTAAGATATAGACTAAAATATAAATAAAGATGAAATATTGGATGAATCGTTCATAATTATTTTTAAAAATACAGCCCATAGTGTATAGTATGAGACATAGAATGCTAGGCTGCATGGTCGTGGATGTGGCCCAATCAGTGCATACCTTAATTTTTCTGCTATCTGTACGAAGCAGAGAAGTGTCTTTAGATTGACATCGCAGTGCATTTCACAGTGTCAGCTGGGTATCTCAAGTCTTTACAGTAATCTGAGTCTTTATTACCCAGCTGCGTTTTATACAAATGGAGAAGCAGCCCATTGCATCAGCAGTGCTCTGCGTCAACCTCAAGTTGCTTGAGAGAGTCAGGGAAGCAACGTAACTATTCCTTCTCTCCCCAGCTCCTCCTATCCTTGGGACCCGTAGTGAGTTTAACTTCAGCATCAAAGCGCCTCCTGTTCAAAGGCTGTTATTATGTGAGCCTTGCTAAATACAGAAGTTGTTTGTTCTGAATGACAGAAATAAGTATTGACCGGTTTATCCTCACATGCTTCAGATTCTCGGCGGGGATCGTAATGTGTTCTTTCCACATTCCGCCGCTGGGCTTTTCTCCCCCGACAAAGCGAGTATTATGCACACTTATAGCCGTGATGCCATATACTTAACTGTATGGAAATACAAGCCAGGCTCTGCTCCTTGCTTTATACCTTTGCTAGAGCTATAAACAGCAACGTGTCGTGGCTGTTGGTAAGCGCTCAAAAGTCAAAGCGGTCAGTCTTCTGCAGAGCTCCTCTGTGCTTGCAGTAATATTTTCCCTGCTGGCTATTTAAAACTACATATTTTAGATTCTCATTGCTGAATCGCCCACCCCCTTCCTTCCAAACCCTCAAGAATCTAAAAGTCAATAATACTTCTTGAGTTCTGGTCAGTTTTTCCAATGAGTCGAAACCAAATGGAAAAGCCTCCCACTGCGGGATCCGTTGAGTAGGGACAACTTCTGCACAGAGTTCTTTTCCTGTTTGGCCTTGCCCTTTCTTGTCTTGTTCAGAGAGGTCATTTGTAGAGCTGAAATTTCTGCTTGACAGCCTTAAATGCATAACATCAGTTTCCTGCTGTTGCATATACCGCTAGGCCTGGTAGTGGGGGGCGGGGTGGCGAGCAGACCTGGTTTCAGGACTCTGGGGAGGCTGGGATTGGCTCACAAAAACCCCATTGTTCCTTTTCCATCTTCCTTTAGAAACCTAAAGACGTTATATTCTCCAGGGACATCAAGAGGAAAATTTATTTTGACTTCGGATCGTTCACTGTTGAACTCTGAAGTCAGTTCCCATTGTGTTAGACCAACATTGTGTGTTTGCCATTTGCTCATCCAGTGTTACCTGAACCTTGCTACCTTAAATGCTTTAGACCTCATCAAGCACTCAGAAGAGATTCTTATCAGTTTTCAAGACAAATAGGAACTTGTTCTTCACACGCTTATCAGAAGCACATAATTAGATGTATTAGAAGAAGCACATAATTAGGTGTATGAGAAGCATGTATTGCTTCTAATGTTGATTTCTGCCATTTTGTGAGGAAGCCCTTCAGCTTCCTGTAGGTGGTAGAGCCCAGTTCTCAAGGTGAACAGTAGAAGGACAACCCCAATCAAAGAAATATGAGTGGGCCTCTCACCCCCAACTCTTAGAAGATCTAGAACAGCACTGTCCAACAGAACTGTCTGTTGATGGGAATGTTCTGTATTTGCACAGGCCAATACAGTAGCTACTGGCCACAAATGACTGGGTAGGGCGCCCTTGAGATGTGGCTGGTACAACTGAGGAACTCAATGAGTCATTTTGTTTCATTTCAATGTAAACATCCACACACTTAGCACACACCTAGAGCCTACAGGGTTTACCTGCAGAGATAAGACAAGTGTAGAGGGACAAGTAATCCTATCTCTCCCACTACCCCCACCATGTTCTTTAAACAGGGCTGTGCCCAAGTTCATGAAAAGGATCAAGGTTCCAGACTACAAGGACCGGAATGTGTTTGGGGTCCCTCTGACGGTCAACGTGCAGCGCACAGGACAGCCCCTGCCGCAGAGCATTCAGCAGGCTATGCGCTACCTCCGGAACCATTGTTTGGATCAGGTAAGAGCCACTGCCTGCGGCTGCCACGAACTCAGGGGAGCTCAGGTGCGACCTGCTGCTTCCGTCCCAGTGTTCATGGCACTTAATGTTTTTCTTCCAACAGGTTGGGCTCTTCAGAAAATCAGGAGTCAAATCCCGGATTCAGGCTCTGCGCCAGATGAACGAAGGTGCCATAGACTGTGTCAACTACGAAGGACAGTCTGCTTACGACGTGGCAGACATGCTGAAGCAGTATTTTCGAGATCTTCCTGAGCCACTCATGACAAACAAACTCTCGGAAACCTTTCTGCAGATCTACCAATGTGAGTAGATCTTAGGGTTGTTGGTGTTAGGAGAAAGTGGGAACAACTGATGCTTAGGTTCCTCTGATGTTGTTCACGTGACAAGAGGACCCACATGGTGACCTCTTGGAAACACGTGTCATCGATTTCTTCCTTGCCTCCTCGTTCGTGGAGCAGGTAGTTCTGTCTGCTTATTGAATGAGGGGAAAATAAATTTCCCAGTCTGTAATGACTGAAGCAATTGTACATTTTTACATCCTGATCCAGTTTGTTCTTTCATTTGTTTCTAGAACACTGTTATCTAAGATGCTCAGATAAAGATCAGATACCAAGATATCTCTCTCTCTCTCTCTCTCCTTCTCCCCACCTCATCTGCAGAAATTTCAGTTGCTTCACAATCTCTCTCTAGCATGCTCATTGCATTTAAAATTTCACAGGTGTCTGTGTGTTTTATCTTGCTGTAAAATGGATAAATAATCCTTTTCTGTTACTCATCTCAGTCTCTGCCAGAAATACTTGGGAAAACAATACCGATACCCTTCTCACTTTTATGTAAAGCTTAAAGCAAACAGTTGTCTAAATTAATGATCAAGATCAGGATTGTAGCTTTTACAGCCTTGTGTTTTTCTTGGCTCACTGCGGTATTACAGCAATGCAATTTAAAAGCAGCCTCTCTTAGTGTTCAAATTGTCTTTAGAACCGGCGCATTGGACTTTATTTTATGAGAAATGGAGCTGGTCTGGATTATTTCATTAGTTGTTTCATCCTTTCATATTTTATGAAAACACAGGTCCCATTTTCCCAGCCAAGGTATTTGTTATGTACTGTAACCATGGAGCTGTTTAATCAGTGTGTCCTATGGAGCTGCATTTGAGTGACGTGATTTTTCCACCACATGCTTTTTAAAAGATTTTTCTAGTAAAGGAGACCTGAAGGTTGAGTTTTCTACATGGGGATTATTACATGGGTTTATTTGCATTTTTACATATTTGCATATCTATATGAAATTTTTAACAACCTCTCAGTATGCTTGCTAAAACTTAAGAAATCACTAGTTAAATATATCTATCGTTTAATTTGACTGAATATTTAGCAACTTACTTTGCCCATTTCAAGAATGAGCAAATCAGTTAAACTTAGAAAAGTCCTCAAAGATACTGAACATTTTATAATCAAGGCAAAGAAATCTCAGTTCTTATCCTCTGGCATGTGTCGCAAATAAGGTTTTCCATTGACACTAAACCAAAGTGTAAAGTCTATAATGTCTTCAGTAATTGAGATTGGTAAACTAGCAATTTTTAAAAAGTGCTTAGGAAAGAAAAAACTGTTTTGTAAAACTAAAAGAACAGGCATCCTCTGCAGCTAAACTCTGAGGTGGATTTAAGAGTGTTTTGGTATTGTGGGTGTTTAAAAATTTTTAACTCCTCCACAAGGCAGGAAATACTTGAGGGCAGTAACGCCGGTGGCAATTCATAATTTTTTCCGTACTACCCTCTAGTACGTTTTCTGCAAGTGCTTGTTGGGTACTGGGCGGAGGTATTTGATGCTGATATTTGCTTTGGGACATTTCCTTGCAATGTGTGTGGAAAATCACCACGTTGACGGGAGAAATGCTGGTGTCGTGTAGATGTACCCAAGGACCAGCGCCTGCAGGCCATCAAGGCGGCCGTAATGCTCCTGCCTGACGACAACCGGGAGGTTCTCCAGACCCTTCTTTATTTCTTGAGCGATGTCACAGCGGCTGTAAAAGAAAACCAGATGACTCCAACCAACCTGGCCGTGTGCTTGGCGCCTTCCCTCTTCCACCTCAACACCCTGAAGAGAGAGAATTCCTCGCCAAGGTACGGGGTGGATGGGAGGGAGGTGTGCGCATGCGCTCTGTTCTTCAGACTGAGGCCTGTTGCTGTGTTTTTGTTGGATTCTTATCTGAACCAAGCAAAAATGAGTTAGACCACCTTCGCGCACAGCCCACACACCTCCACAGCACGCAGCCTCCTCTCTTCTCAGCCCTCGGGCTGCGACTTAGACAATCTGATAACAACCTGATCGTGAGGGAGCGAGCTTTGGATTCCTGCTCTGCCTGGCAAGTGTTTGCTCTTGAGGCAAGTCTCATAGTGTCATCATACTTTCTGCCAGCAAAGAAGCATGCAGGTTTACTGGCCTAAAAAACTGGATGGAAAGTAAGATTCCTACCACCTTGGCCTCTGCGTAGTCAGGAAAGCCAAACTTTTGGCCTGTGCCGGAAGTTAAAAGGAAATAGCCTAAAAGAACTAAGAATAATGGTGAGCCTCAGAAGTTGATTCTATTCAGGGTCTGGTTGACTCAATCATTTGCAAAATTTCTGCCTAGAACACATGTATATGAGATTGGGGTGGCTCTAGAAAAAGTCGTGGAATCTTGAAAAATAACAAAAGTTGATACTTGCTGGGCACTTATTCTGGGTCAGGCACAGAATGGTCCCTTTCCATTTTTTATGTCATTAAATCCTCATGAGAGTCACAGGAGGTGAAGGCCCTGTGGGCATCTATCTGACAGATGAGGAAAAGGAGACTTAGGGAAGTCAGTTCCGTAAGCAGTTTGCCTCCATCTGGCAGGAAGAGATGGCAGGGGCAGTTTGAGCTTCTCACTTTTGTGACTATTTCATATAAAGACCTTCTTCTAGTGGAGCATATGAGAAAGTAGTTCACTAACTGGACTTAACCCACCCAGACTAAATCCATCCTTTCCCTCAGCTCTAAGAGATCTTGTAAAATATTTCTTAGCTAGAGCCACGGGGCCTACTTGTGCTAGTTGAAGTTAACTTTGCTTCTGAAAGCCGTACAATGCTTAAATACCCTTTTCTAAAAGCTTACTGGGGCATTACAGCTGCAATGGGATAGAGAACTAGAGAGAAGCAAAAGAGAGAGATCAGATAAGATTAAGACAAAACCCCTAAGAAACAATAGATGTGTCCCTCACCTCTGGGAGGTGATCCTGTGTATTTAAACAGGTAAGAAAAGGGACACCCTTTCCCCAAGTTCCAGTGACTCCCGCCCCATGCCCTTCTCAGCTGCCTCTTCCCACCATGCATATGTAGACTTTATAAGCTGCCGTATTTAAAATAGAAACTTATTGAACAAAGTGGCTTTAAATTACCTGGATTTCATTATAAACAAATATCTTTAATGTTGTCCTGTGTGTTATTTATAAAAGTCTGAGAATCACAGGTGACCAAAGTCAAAGCTCTCCTGAACCAGTTAACAAGTAGATTCCAGTAAAATGTTTTTTTTTTGTTTTCTCTCTCCTTTGGCTTTTGGATAATACATTGATTGAAAGTATATAAATATTTGAATCCTTCCCTTCCTGTATTTCTTCTACCTAGGGTAATGCAAAGAAAACAAAGTTTGGGCAAACCAGATCAGAAAGATTTGAATGAAAACCTGGCTGCCACGCAGGGGCTGGCCCACATGATTGCAGAGTGCAAGAAGCTGTTCCAGGTAAGGAGTTGGGAAAGTTGGCTCTTTTGTAAAGGATAAAGTGATGTGGTACAGAATCCTAGTCTTGATACTTGATCACAGCCGGAGATTATATACATAGCCTGAACATGTCTTATTTGTACGTTATAATGTATGAGTTTGTTAGAGTCAATTCTTAATGAAATTGCCCATCTTCGGGTTACTCCTTTAAAAGCAACAAATTGCCTGGAACTAAAATTCTGCATCTGAAAAACTTGCCTTGATCAATGTAACTGAGTCCCCTATTCTAACTTTCCAAAGTTACACAGGAATAACCTTTTTTTTTTTTTTTTTAAGAGTCTCACTCTGTTGCCCAGGCTAAATTACCGTGGTGTCAGCCGAGTTCACAGCAGCTTTAACCACTTCGGTACTGCACTCACCCAGCTGCGAAACCTTGCCCACAGCCGGCACTCACAGTCCGCATGATATTTGTGCTGTGTATTGATGACACATCCGTTTTGCTCTTGTATGAGGAGGAAAGCTTTAAAGCACTGAAAGTTTGTTTTACTTTATAGGCAGCTTTACTTGTAATGTAAATCAGAACAGCTAACATATACATATATGTTTTCATTACATTATTTTTAAATGTTCACGATTTTATTTTGATAAATGAAAAATTAGAAAAGTCATATCACGGCTATCAGCTAAAGTCGACTCTCCGCTGTGTGCCTTCATATCACGGCTAAAGTCAGCGTGCGCGTCCATCTGTGGCTATTGAATATAGTCAATGCTGGCATCGGAGTGGTTAAACTACTGGGCTCCAGCAATCCTCCTGCCTCAGCCTCCTGAGTAGCTGGGACTAGCATGCACCACCACACCCAGCTAATTTTTTTTCTATTTTTAGTAGGGACAGGGTCTCACTCTTGCTCAGGCTGGTCTGTAACTCCAGAGCTCAAACGATCCTCCCGTCCCAGCCTCCCAGAGTGGTAGGATTACAGGCGTGAGCCACTGCACCCCGCTGGGACTATGCTTTTTAGATACCTTTATGGAGGTGATCTGTTTATAACCTTGTGTTACCACATGAGGTTGGCAGGGATGCCCCCGCATCTGTGGGGAGACTCCTGCACTGCCTTGAGCATCCAGGCCATTGTCTCTGCCCTGCCTCTTCCTCTGATGATGCAGACAGGTGCGCTCACCTCCTTTTTATCCCTCGTGTTCCACACAGGTTCCTGAGGAAATGAGCCGCTGTCGTAACTCCTATACCGAACAGGAGCTGAAGCCCCTCACCCTGGAAGCCCTGAGCCGCCTGGGTAATGCTGAATATACTGACTACCAGCACTTCCTCCAGGACTGTGTGGACGGCCTGTACAAAGAGGTCAAAGAGAAGTTTAAAGGCTGGGTCAGCTACTCCACTTCAGAGCAGGCCGAGCTGTCCTATAAGAAGGTAAATCTTCCTCTCCCTGTTGTTGGCCAGTCAGGGTCCAGTGGTCAGGACTCAGATTCCTCAGAGATGAGACTCTTTGGCCAGCCATAATCCGACGTGGATCTGTGGCCCAGACCCTGGCAGTGCTGGGCAGCCAGGTGGTTCAGGTTCCCTAGGCAAAAGTGGAAACCAGTCCAGTGAGGAATAACGTTCACCTGGTGTGACACTTGTAAGAGATTTCAAACTATTTCTAATGAAATCCTTTGGTTCCACAGAATCACACTCGAGTTCCCCAGATGTTTTACTCCTGGTATTGAGTTTTTGGTATTTTATGGCATGCTCAGTAGGAGGTATTTGGTGATACTTTCTCTGCTGCCTTGAAAGTAAACAGTGAGGGCAGGTGGATAGCCATGCAGGCTTTGGGGTGCAAATGGATGATCTTACTTTGTTACATTCCCTCTGATATAGGCCTCAGAAAAACAAATGTAATCATCTTGACTAGAATCAACAACAGAATTGTTCACTTTCTGACTTGCTCTTGAATATATTTCGGGACAGCAGCCTGTGAAAGTCATAGATTGATTAGCCTTTGACACATGACGTGGTCCCCAACTAACAGTTTGCCTTCGAAGTCTAGGTGTGACTGGGCTGTTCTCCTAGCACTGAAAAATACACCCTTTTTTCAGGTGAGTGAAGGACCCCCACTGAGGCTCTGGAGGTCAACCATCGAAGTCCCTGCTGTGCCTGAGGAGATCTTAAAGCGCCTACTTAAAGAACAGCACCTCTGGGACGTAGACCTGTTGGATTCGAAAGTGATCGAGATCCTGGACAGCCAGACTGAAATTTACCAGTACGTGCAGAACAGCATGGCGCCCCACCCTGCTCGGGACTACGTGGTTTTGAGGTGAGAGCTTCCAAAGTGTTCATTGTGGCAAAGATGACTTGGTATTAGCATTGAGACTGTTTGTCACTGAACCTTACAAGATGGTAAAATCATTTAAAGTAGAACATATGCCTCCAGAAAAGGAGTGAACCTTTCCAAATATAGGAAATACACATATGTTTGTTCCAGCAGTATGTTCCTTGCTGAGAATGGATTGAACTCTTTTGGAACCGATCTCAGAAAGAGAGGCCTATTCAAATGAATACGCTCACTGGTCGCAGATTTTTGCCCCTTTTAGGGTAGATTTTTCTAGTTAGAAACAGCTAGTGAATGAATAAGTCAGGAAATAACATTTGAGTCCCAAGGGAGATGTGGTTATGGCTGATTTATATGTAATTCATAAGTTCTCTGGAGACATTATTGAAAGAGGAATTCCAAAAATCTTGGAGGAAATGTCACGGTGAGAGCCTAGAATTTTTCAGACAAGCAGTGCTCCTTTTAGGTGTCCATGTTCTAAGACATTTGTGAAATATAAAAATGGTTTTACACTCCACTCCAAATGGGTTCTGTTTTCCAGGAGGAGACTGTCTGAGCTCACACACCCCCTATAGAAGTGGCTTTGCACAGGGTTTCTCATTCAGGAGTCCTTGGAGAGTAGTGTCTTAGTCTGTTTTGTTTTGCTATAAGAATATCACAGACTGAGTGTTTTATAATGAATGGAAAATATATTTCACTCATGGTTGTAGAGGCTTCCAAGGCCAAGATCCAGGGGCGACATCTGGCGAGGACTCTCTGGCTGTGTCATCCCCATGGCAGAAGGGCAAAGAGAAGGCAAGAAAGAGCAAAAGCACAAACTTGAAGCCTTGAGCCCTTTTGTAATCAGCATTAATTCACCTTGCGTTAGGCCCTACCTCCCAACGTTGGGGATTAAAGTTCACATGCTTTCTGGGGAACATATTTATGCTATAGCAAGTAGTTTAGAGGGTGCCATTTACCCAGGCCTGGGGCCCCTTGGCTGTCTCTCCTAAGAGTGAGGCACTGTTTTAAACTTGGCTTCTAGAAAATACCATTTCCCCCCTCTGGTTTTGTCTCTACAGAACCTGGAGGACTAATTTACCCAAGGGAGCGTGTGCGCTTTTACTCACCTCCGTGGATCATGACCGGGCGCCTGTGGTCGGCGTGAGGGTTAATGTGCTCTTGTCCAGGTATTTGATCGAACCCTGCGGGCCAGGAAAATCCAAACTCACCTACATATGCAGAGCTGATTTAAGGTACGTTCGGATTCTGATTTTTTGACACAGTGTGAGGGTAATGAAGAAGATTGAGATTTCATGTCTGATGTAAAGAATGCCTTCAGTGAATACATCCTTGTTGGTTACTTCATGAAGAGTGGTGCACCGAAAGTCTCATCTTAGTGTGCATTGGTCTTTTGTGTACCACCTCCTAATTTGAATCCCTTAGAAAAACTGTGCTACAAAAGCACTGCAAATATGGTAGTTCTGCCACGAGTTTAAAGCCACAGGAAATGATAGATTTTATGCATTGGAGCTAGCAAGCAGATGTTTCTCATTTTATTTCAGTGCTTTCTAACTTAAATAATTCATCTACTTTTCCCTTCTGCTACAGGGGCCACATGCCAGAGTGGTATACAAAATCTTTTGGACATTTGTGTGCAGCTGAGATTGTAAAAATCCGGGACTCCTTCACTAACCAGAACACTGAAACCAAAGACACCAAATCTAGGTGATTACTGAAGCAAAACAACTGTGACCACCATCCAGGTGTTCGTTTGTAGAACCTTGCCAGTCCCTGGAAGAATGGGTTCCATGTCTGATCCTCAAAGAAAACTGCAAGTTGGAGTGTAGGAATTGACTATAGCAATTTGATACATTTTTAAAGCTGCTTCCTGATTGTTTAAGTGTCTATATTAATAGACCTTGACTGGAATATATAAGACTGCAAAAAAAAATGTATTTGTATTCTTATTCAGATTGCTTCTGAGAAGCAAAACTCTAAATACATTACAGAAGATAATGAAGATACTTTTTTCTCTTGTGATATCGGTGTATGTGTACCTGTGTCATTTTATTCGCAGTGTGTTGAGGGACTGGTGTATCCACTGGAATAGTTGGTACTCTTTGACATGTTTTCTCACTGAGATGAGCAGAGAAAGGTTTGCACAGAGGAGTGTGAATGTGTGTTTGTTGCTGGTTGAATGGCATAAATGTATAAGTTGGGATGCAGTGTCTGGCACACTGAGACGCCTCCAAGAAGGATATTGATGCATCGGGTTCAGTTTAACCTGGAATATCTGACCACCCATGAATCCATCAGAAAGGGGACCAACACCCTTGTCCATTTATTGATTTCCCCCCCAAGTTATTAAGCATATTTCTTCTCCACCAACCTCTTCTGTACTTGAATTCTAGTAGATTTACTCTGATACCCATATCAAATGTAGTGTTTTTTGGATCTGATTGCAAATAGTGATACAGTTTTTAACCAGCAGAGAGTTCAAGGAGGAACCCCCTCACCCCCAGCCTTACTGGCTTCAAAGCATAAATTTGATTTTGTTTTTAAGCAGAGGTGTAAAAACTTAGCATTGTAACATTTACTCCTGAATCAAGCGTCAAAATGTTTTCCTTGTTAGAATTCTTTGCATTTTTGTGTTTATAACAGAAACTTTTTTAAGACACTAGGGAACATAGGAAACTATGTATGTCCCAAGGAAATCCCTGTAAATTTAACCCAGCTACAAAAGGCTCTTTTGATTTTTTTGGTGTTCATTATTAATAGCATTCCTGAAAGCTGCATGTGTTTATTAATTGGGTTTGTTCTTGTCAGCAAATAGGTTTTCAGGTTTTATGACTTTCTGCTTTATTTTGGTTTTCCTACATTTCTTTTTCTTTTCCTTTTAGAATGCCAATGAAATATATTTTAGTGGTAATGGAAAATAGTAATCATAGTAAAACATCAGAAAAACAAAACAGGCAAATGTTTTTTTGGGGGAAGGGTGGTCTTGATTCAGGTTTTACTGTAGTGGTAAAGATTGACTCAAGAGACAGTATTAGTAAATTTATTTTGTGTGGATCAAAAGTGAATAATGTATGAATGAGAGTTGTAAGAAGGATTTTTATTTTGTTATAACATAATTTAGTTACCATTGTCAGTGTTATATCAAAGGTTTTTTTGAAGAATTTCACAGGGGGTCAGATGAAAGAGTTTTAAAATTTGAGTATTTTGGATATCCGTGTTCCTCATGAAGATATACTTGTATATTCAATTTTGATGGCTTCCAGATTTGTAAGATTGTATGTTGTATATACCAATTCTATTAAGAAACGTGCACATGTCCACTGTGCTTTCAAACATAGATAAAGCATGATAAAGATTATTATTTAAAATATACTTGTATTTATACCTCAGATATTCTTTTGGGTTTTGTACCTCAAGGCTTCATGTTTTTTTTTCCCTATTGTAAATACACTTTACGTGAATACAGTCTAAATGGAAAAATAAATAAGTAAAAGGAAGAGGTTTATAACTTTCTCTATATCTGTACAGAATATAATCAATAAGTGCACTATTAAATGTTTAAAGTAAGGGAAAAGTCTGGCCTGTTTTCCTTTTGCATTTCACTCCCACCCTTAAAACCACAGATTGCAAAGCAAAAGCATTCTAGCATCACCTAAAACCAAAAGATAGATTTACTGAAGGAAAAGTTGGACTGCAGATCATTCCAAGGCCAAACTGCAACTGAGCCACTCACTCACAAACAGGAAACCCTGGTGAAGGTTCAGGAAGCGTGGAGACTCCCTCCAAACAAAAGTTCAGTTAGGAAATGATGGCTGAGAAAGTTAGGAGAATAGGCAACTGAAAGATGCATTTAAGCAAAATGCAGGTGACCGGTTGATTCCAAAAAAGGTCTTTTTCCCATTATTTAGCTTCTCTGTTGAAGGGATTCCTTCTGTGTTTGGAAAGAGAAGAATTGGAAGGATAAGAACATTTTTAAGAACTTTGCTGAAGTCACCTAATGCAGTATCACCACGGCATACTCGTGTGACTAATTTTGCCTAGATTGTAAGCTCTCTGAGAGCAGGGCTCATCTCCTACATCTTTATAATCCCCTACAGTGGCTTTCAGTATTTTGTACTTGTAGGCACCTAATAAATTTATTACTTGCTCAATTGAATTGGTTGCATTAGCTTCTGTTATTTCAAAGGGAAGAAAATCTAGAGTTCCATTGTTCTTAAACTCATTTTCACTCATCGTTGCCCACTTTGAGATTGCAGAGATTAGAAATTATTAAACCTAATGGGATCTTAAAGTTTAAAATGAAAAATATGACATAAATTGTTAAACTTGGTGGAAACTTAAATTTAACTAACAAGAGATGATAGATACTATACATAGATACTGTGGCTACTGATTCTAGAATGAAAAGTTCTTTGTAATCGAATTTTAAGCAATCACATGTCTTACATACAATGTGACGTCAATTTTAGAAGGTGTTTTATTACAACAAATATTTACTCTGGGCATAGGAAGGGGGAAAAACCCAACCCCACTATAATATTTTTAAAAGACACACACACCAAAGACACTTTTTTTTTAATTTGACTCTTGCTCCAGACCTGGTTTGTTCAGAGCTGTGTAAAGATCAAAATGTGTTAAGCCTGAATATTTTAGTCATTTGAAGAGCTTGGGAGTCCTAAGTTACCAGTGGGTTACCAAAGGCTACCAAGATGGAGTAGCTACTCTCACAGGCCTCCACTATGAGTTTAGATTATTTTTGTTCACACCACCTGCTGTGTGGTTTTTCAACTCATTTTGTCAGTTACTCACCACCAACTGTGTACTTCACACTGAAGACTGAGCTGTGAGCAAGGCTGCCACCACCCTACCCTGTCCTCTAAGATACTAAGATAAAAATAATAATGCCATATAGTGAGCATCAGGACAGGTTCTTACCCACTCAGAATGGGAAGCTCAGGTCTTAACCTGAACAAAGCTCAAGGTAATTGTTCTATGTACTCAAGGCAGCCTACCTACCAGCGTATATATGGATTAAGTTGGAAAAAATCTAACAAAACTAAATGGTTCTTTAAGAGATTTTTTTTTGTTCAGGGCTGTGGAGACAAGTAAAATTTTGAAAAATAAAATCTGTAGAAAAATTTAGGAAGATAATGATCCAAAATCAGTGCTTTCCAACATTGCTAGTTTGAGAAGTGTGGAGAAAGATTATAGAGGTGTGTGGGATTTTATAGTGATATTCATGTGTCTTTGTAGCACTTTTATTCACTTTTCATACCCCTATTTAAGCGTCACAAACACCCCACGAAGCAGAGGCATTCTCACCATTCTGTCATCGGGATATGGCTTAGAGAGTTAATGACAAATTAAAGTCCCCAGACGCGGAAGAACCAGAGCTCTTGATATCAGCTTAGTCAGATCCATTACCCTAGACCATCGGCCATTTCCCGATCTTTCCCTAACGAGGAGGCAGATTTATCAGTAAATCAATCCCCCATGGCCTCAGCCCAGGAAGAACTAGGAAAATGAAGGTTCATAGCAAAGTAACCACATTTGTCAGAGTGTGAAAATGACAGTATTCTGTCACTCTATTAGTGAGATGATTAAGGTGAAATTAAATAAGCCGAGATAAATATGAAGCAAAAAATGTTTTTCAGTTGATGGCTAAAAGAATTTGTAGTTCTGTATAGCAAGTCAAATATATGATTTGAAATGTACAAAGACTCCATTTATCCTCCTTGTAACACATAGAAGGAGGATGTGATTCTCCCCATTGGCAACCAAAGAACAATTAGACATATGGTTGCAACCCCCATCCTCTCTGATCTTGTGATACTTATGGGTACACAGGGAACATCTATTGACAGGCTCCTTAACTTGCAGCCCAGCACTGGAATCGTGGTCTTGTGACTCTGCAACATCTCATTATGCCCTTCCCACCACGCAAGAATATCATGAAATGCTACTGAGATATTTGCAAGGGTGCTTTGAAAAGTAAGGGCTATTCAACTCTAAGAGAGCATTCATGAATGCCAAGTGGAATCCGGCCCAAATGCTTCTTTTACCTCAGCTGCCTGTTGAAGCCTACATTAATGATTATAAAGCAGAAATCCCAAACAATGAGATCATGGCATGCATGTCATCTTGGGGTTCCATCAGGATGAAATTTGCCTGAGGAATTTAAATTCCATTTGCTTAAGGAATGCAAATTACAAAAGATCTCAAAGAGCCTGTGGCAGGAGAAGCTCAGGTAGGTCTGGGCGGCTGCAATGAGTTTGGGCCCATTCTGGAGGGGATGATCAGACTTTTGCAGGCAGGGGGTTTGCTAAATCATGTTGGCAGTTGCAGCCCAAAGTAATTACCTTTGCTGTGTATACACAGTTCCCATTAGAGCCGCTAGTTTGCCTGTCTGGACCCCAAGCTGTGTTGACACCTATAGTATAAACATCTTTTTGCAGAGACTTTTCATCTTCTTTGGCCTTTAAAAAAGAAGAGGGAGTGGTTCAGGGCTAGAAATGTTACTATTTGTAGGAGATTCTCATTTCCTTCTTGCTCTTTCCTATTAAGATACAAAGTATCATAGAAAGGACAAACCTTACCCTTCTCAGGACTCTGAGAAAGGCTGTCTTTAGGATGAGTGACCTGTTCCCATAAAAACAGTCTAATCTCCAAGGAGATTGTTTCAAAAAGCTTTGTAGGTTATAGGTATTTTAGAATACAAGTGTGTTTGGCTCAAGTCTGAGTAGACTCATTGTTGAGCTGCCATTTATAATAATATTACAATGTGCCGGGCACACAGATGTATGCTTTCTATATAGTCAATATCTCATTTAAATTTCATAGCAGTCTTTGGAAGGAGAACTTAGTATCCCCATTTCATAGATGAAAAAGTTTAAAGAGGTAAGAAGGCTTAAAGAAATACAGTAGTTATAGAATATTTGCAAAGGACTCAAATTCTAGAGTAGCATGTAGAACGTTCTGCCATGGTGGAAATTTTCCAGATCTGCCCTGTCTAATACAGTATCCTGTAGCACATGTAGCTACAGCTAGTGTGACTGAGCAATGGAATGCTTAATTTTATTTCGTTTTTATTAATTTAAACTTAAATAGCAAGATGTGCCTCGTGGATACTGTATTGGACAATGCAGATGCTATTTCTAAGATCTAGGAGTATTTCTAAGCAGTTCAATCTCCATTGCTCTCTTATGCCTATGATAATCTTAAAAAAAAAAAAGAAAGAACAAAAATATGGTAAATATTTGTAAAAATATAACTGGCCACATTTCAGGTCAGATAAAAATCAACTCAACATTCCACCAGCCACAAGGCTAAAGCTGCATCTCCACCTATGGCCAGTTTCTGCATTTCTCAAGCCACGGAGTTGGGTGGCCTCTAATCAGGGGTCCCCAAACTATGGTGAGTTGTGTAATTATTTCATTATATAGTACTATGTAATAATAATAGAAATAAAGTGCACAATAAATGGAATGTGCTAGAATCATCCCGAAACCATCCCCACCCCACCCCTGGTCCGGAAAAACTGTCTTCCGTGAAAACAATCCCTGGTGCCAAAAAGAGACTACCAGGTGGAGGGAAAGGCAAGAGACATAGGAACAGAGAGAAGTGGGTGGCGTAATCGATGGTACACGGTGACAGTCCTTTTGGAATGAGAGATGGGAAGTGAGGATTGCACCCCAGATCCTAGCCACGCAACCTGGACGGAGGGTGATGCTGTGGTCTGAGACAAGCAGTGCAGGAGGGGAAATAGGTTTGAGATGAAAGGACAGGATGGTGAGTTAAATTGGGTGTCCACCATGGCTTCTGCAGGACATCTAAGGGAAGCTCTGGCACAGGTCATGGAAGTATGGAACAAGAGCTCCTAGGCCTGGCCTACGTTTGGAAGGGAAGCTGAAACTTTGGACCATGGTGGAGATATCCTGGCTGGGAGCTTGGGGCTGCAGAACAGAGAGGCTCCTTCCAGGCTGCCCTGCCTAGAATACTAGCCACCTGCCTGGAGGTCACCTCATTCAAGATTCCAGGGGCTTGAGACACGGAGACCCAGTTCCTTGATAATTATCAGGAACCTAAGTTTGTTTGTTTGTTTTCTTACCTAATGTTTTAGGTAAGAAAATTTCCTGTTGGAGACAGTGAATTTGGCTTATGGCTCCCTTCCAGGAAGGGGCTGGAAGAGTCATGGAGAAATAGAATGGAAAAAAGAATGACTGGTGACAACCAAAAAAAAAAACTTAAAGAAAAGTGCACATAAAAAAAAAAAAAAAAAGTCAGAAATTGCCCTGGGCTGTCTGATATTCAGGCACAGTCCATGACTCACAAAGTTAGTGTTTACCAGAGTAAAGTGTTTGTTGCTGTCTTTGGTATCTTCAAAACAAACAAAACAAAACAAAAACAAGAAAAGCCAAGAACAGGCTAATGCAAATCATGCCCTGGCACAATAAGGCTACAGGAAGCAATTAAAACATTTTGATTTTATAAGGTGTGGTGTAATCCCCCTGTCCCTGGGTTTCCTGTGATCATCAAAGCTTTGATTGGCAGTTCTATATGTTTTTGATAAATTATGAGAAAACAAATTAGGTTTACATAATCAATGCACTTTAATTGACAGATATCAATTTTCAAAACACGAAGTCTCTGGGGATTAAAAAACAAACGCAACAAAATAAAACGGCATCCAGGGTGGTGAAGTTTGGGAACCCGCAGCAAGTGCTCCGTCCGTAGTCACTATCCTTGTCAGTGAGTTGGGGGCCACCCAGCAGCACCACGGGCATCCGCTGTGGTCAACCGGAAGAGTCTTGCCTTTAACAGTTCCAGACACTTCCCTGAAAGAGAGGAGTGGAAAGTTTTAAACCCTGCCTGCTAAATCCAAGTGATTCTTAAAGAGATAGTTCCTCTAAGACACCCCCCATCCCCCCACACCCCCAGGGCAGACTCAATGTCCTTCCTCTGGGCTCTGTTCCACCATGTGATTTTGTGTTGTCTGGGTTTGCGTTCTTTTGTGTTGATTTGTTTTGGTTTGGGTCTGGGTCTGGTTTGGGTCTGGGTCTGCTACTAGACAGTAACCTCTTTCAAGACAGACGTTACCTTATTCCTGCCTCTGTCCCCAACACCTTAAGCAGTGCCTGGCATATTTCCAGAGCTCCAAAATTGGGTGTCCCAGAAGACAGACAATCTGCTTTGCAGTCAGACACGCCTCTGAAGACAGAGGATGAGGAGAAAATAGAAGGGAGGAAGGGCCACCCCTTGGTGGTCTGTGGTCTGAGGCTGGTGAGCAAAGGAACCTCCTCCTGATGGGAGCCCCCTCGCTGCAGCATCCCAGCAAAGAGACACCTACCATGTTTCCCTGAAAATAAGACCTACCCATAAAATAAGCCCTAGCAGGATTTCTAAGCATTTGTGCAATAGAAGCCCTACCCCAAAAATAAGATTAGTGATGGGCGTGGCTACGCAGCGCATCTGCACAACCCACGCATTTGGTACCCGAGAGCGGGAAAGAAGACGAGCAGCCCTTCTCATCTGCCCCATGAGAGCTCTATTGCTCAACATGAGAGATCGGGGCCAATGGTTCTAAAGGAAATAGAGTGGCAAGAAATTCAGGATGGAATTCGGGGTTTGAAGAATTATGATGATGTTCTAGGAGAAAATGACTTAACTATATTTGAATAAATGTAGATTGTTGTAGCGTACTTAAAAAAAAAATAACACATCCCCTGAAAATAAGCCGTAGGGTGTCTTCTTGAGGAAAAATAAATATAAGGCCCTGTCTTATTTTCGGGGAAACATGGTACTATCCCAAGGTTCCAGGGTGACACAGTAAATACCAGCCATGACTCTTAATGACTTGGAGTGTCCATCTAATTGGGAAAACAAAGACTAACAATCCATGAGAATCTTGAGGGCCCGGTGAGTTCCCCCTTAATTAGATTTAAGAAGTGGAGACAGAGCTAGATTTTGAGTATCTTCTCCTCATTATCTATTTGGACCCTGGAAGACAATAATAGATCTATAATAACTATGCGTTTATCTCGGAGCTGAGATGAATGGAGCCTGGAGGAAATTTAAATCAAGGCAGGATGGACAGAAGCATTCGCTGACTCTTCTCTTTCCTCCCCCCGCCCCCTGCAAATGGCAAAAGTGAGATTCCACTCCAAATGCTCACGAAGTATGTTTCTGACCCTCACTGTCATTAATTAAGATTTAAGTCATCCGTGGCTTTACCAGAGCTGTAAGTAATTGCATGTCGAGTCTCGGCTTCGAATTACTCTGACAATTTTCTTGGGGCACTCTGGTCTATGTGTGTCCTAGTAGGAGCAATTGTGTCTTAACTGACTTCCCAAGTCATTTACCTCGTCACTTACCCAAACTCCTGCTTTTAAATAACAAGCAACAGAATCTTAAGATATTTATTTCACCCGACACACACAGCTCCCAAATAAACACCTAGGCTTTAAAAAGGTGCTGTGAAAAGGCTACCTTTAAACTCTTTTAACTGTCAGACATCAGTCTGTAGCGAACAGGAAATGTATGTAATTTCATCACCACCCTCCGTCTTCCATCCTACATTTCTCTTTCCAGATAAAAGGCTTCTCCTCACACCCCCTTATCTTTGCCTAATGCCTCACCTCTGGGAGATGGAACTAGGGACAGAGAAGATTTGGTTGCAACAATCTGGGGGGAAAAAAAGGTATGAATGAAGTTGAAGGGATGAAGTTTTACTTTCAGACTCTAGTTGCTACTCGCACCTTCCTGTGCTTTTTTAAGTGCTTCCAAATGTAAGTCACCAGGGACAAGGCAGGACGCTGCGTCTGGGACAAAAGATGCAGGTTCAGACCCAGATTCTCCAGCCCAGTCCGCAAGGCTGGTGGAAGCCGGGACGAGACCTCTGGACTTGACAAATCCCTTCAAATGAATCCTGGGCATGTATGTGCTCGCAGTCTACTGCCAGGTCATTTCCAGCATCGTCTGCTAGCACCTGGTTGGTCTCAGGCACGTCACACTGCTGCTTCGAGCCTCCCGACTCACGATGGGGGAGGGACAGAGAGAAGGGAGGAGTGGATTTCCAGAATATTCCAGAAATATCCAATTCAGTGACTTGTTTTCTGACACTCCTTATATGAAAGCCTCTTCATAAGACCAAAGGCTACCAGAGGATTTTTTTTTTTTTTTGAGACAGAGTCTCACTTTGTTGCCCAGGCTAGAGTGAGTGCCATGGCATCAGCCTAGCTCACAGCAACCTCAAACTCCTGGGCTTAAGCAATCCTCCTGCCTCAGCCTCCCAAGTAGCTACAGGCATGTGCCACCATGCTCGGCTAATTTTTTCTATATATATTAATTGGCCAATTAATTTCTTTCTATTTATAGTAGAGACGGGGTCTCGCTCTTGCTCAGGCTGGTTTTGAACTCCTGACCTCGAGCAATCCACCCGCCTCAGCCTCCCAGAGTGCTAAGATTACAGGCGTGAGCCACCACCTCGCCCGGCCGAGGATTGTTATTCAATAGCTCTTTTTGGTGGCCAGGATAAATTCTGAACCCCTTGCAAGGATTGTCAAGGCCGCACTGCAATGCTTGAGATTTGCATCAATTTTTGCCCAGGCTGCACTGATGGTTGTGCAGCGTGTGCGCTTGTGGAGGTGGAGGGGTTGTTATCCAGTGACTGTTCCACACGTGGCTTCACTTTTGATATCACTAAGCACAGGCAGTTGGGGGTCACAGGCATGATGAATAGAAAAATGAAGTGAGGTCAGTCTGTAGTTCTTTAATCCGTCTGAGCCTCTGTCTGCATGTCAAGACACAGGAGAAATGTGTCGCCCAGGCTAAGAGGCAGGGTAAGCTGAAAGGGGCTTCAGGTAGACCAGTCTCCACGAGGGTCTTAGGAGAACTGTGGCTTTCTGTGCATGCAGATGTGGGCACTGATGGAATTTTTACGTGGGGTGGTGGACATGACCTTTAAAAATTTTCCAGGATGAAATCACCTTTAACCCTCTTGGGAGAATAAAGCCCTGACTTATTCACCGGTCAGGGTGGACCCCGAACTGTTTCCTGAAAAATTCCTGGCTTTGCCTTCAGGTTCTTGCCTCTCCCCTGACGTCTACTATTTCTAAAGTCTACGGATCACCCTGTATTAGGGACACAAAATACCATTTCTCTAAGCCCTTGAAGTGATTGATGCCTCCCAACCTATCCAAAGGCTGAGGGAGAAAGATTCCTTAAGAAGGGCTATTTCAAAATGACTCAGTCCATTCACTCTTCTTGGTACTTTAAGATTTTTCTTTGAATACAGTCAGAGATCAGAAAAGTAAATACTTAACACACTTAATACTTGGGTTCTAAACGGAAATGCCAAGTTGCGTTTTCATCAAGGAAGCTCTAAGAGCCAGAGTAGGAGGGTCAAGCATTTTGTTTGGATGTGATTAAATTGTGGAACTGGGACCCCTCCCTTCCACCTCCGGGGTCCACGCTCAGAAACCTCCCATCAAGAGACCCTTTTACTCATAAGGGCTTCGGAAAGCCTTTGTCCCCTGAGTTTGCTCTCAGAACTGACTTTACCTCTCCTACCCCACAAGCACTTATTTGAGATGGGAACCTCAGAACCATGTTTGAAACTCAGTCTAACAAGTCCACGGCCCCTGTGTGTGCCCTGCCAGCTTGTGTCACAGTACTGCTCAGACCCTGCCCAGCCACCTAGCTTCTGTGCATGTGCTTTGGTTGCAAGCTGTCCCAAGTCCTTTCTGAAAATTGGGTCTTTCACAAGCAAACATCATGTTTAAAATAATAAGTTTAGCAAATGATGTGTTTACAATAACCAGGTTCACATAATATACATGGAACAAAATTGTTCGTAAATTTTCACAAATTAAAAAAATTTTTAAAAATCCTAAAAGTAATCCCTTTCAGAGACTGATGATCCAGACATAAATTGGCCAGCCCGTTTATTTTGTCTTCTCCTTCCAACAATCCTTCTTTTCCACAACTTTGATTCTCAGATACACTAAGTAACAATGTTATTGCTAGGCTGGGCATGGTGGCTCGCTCACACCTGTAATCCTAGCACTCTGGGAGGCCCAGGCGGGCGGATGGCTACCAGCCAGAGCAAGAGCGAGACCCCATCTCTACTAAAAATAGAAAGGAATTAATTGGCCAACTAAAAATATATAGAAAAAATTAGCCAGCCATGCCTATAGTCCCAGCTACTCGGGAGGCTGAGGCGGGAGGATCGCATGAGCCCAGGAGTTGGAGGTTGCTGTGAGCTAGGCTGATGCCACAGCACTCTAGCCTGGGCAACAGAGTGAGACCCTGTCTCAACAACAAAAAACCCCACAAGGTTACTGCTTAAACTAGTAACTCTAAATGACCCACAGCACTCAGCACAGACTCATGCCAATTGGAAGGTATTGTTTGTTGAATGAATAACAGAAGAGAAGATTTGCAAAGGGACCAAACTCAGTTTTGCTCTAGAGCTTGGGGATTCTCTCCGCATTCAACCTGAGCTGCCAGTTTCTACCTCATAACTGATCTAGTTTTGCTTTTCCTTATGAATTCCCTCTAGTTTAGACAGGGTTATGAACGTGTCAGTCCTTTTGAGCTTGTGTCACTGTCCCCAGGGGGAAGGCTGAGAATAACTGCATAGTAGGAACTGGCAAACTTTTTCGGTAAAGGGGCACACAGTAAGTACCTTGGACTTGTGTTCAACATAATCTCTGCTGCAACTACAGCCGATCTCCGTTAATTGTGGTTTCTGTATTTCCGAAGTCACTTACTCACTAAAATTCATTTGTACCCCAAGTTGAATACTCACAGTGCTTTTGCCCTCATTCCTGGAAAGAGGTGGGTCTCCCGATGCCCAGGTTTCTGCCTTTTTGTTTCAACTCTCATACTGTAAATAAGTATCCTTTCTGTGATCTACTTAGCACCACGTGTTTTGCATTTTTGTGCTTTTTGTTGCTGATGTTGCTGCTCCAGATGATTCCAAAGGCTAGTCCTGAGTTTCTAAACATGGGAAGGCTGGGATGGGCCTCATGGAGAAAAGACATGTGAGATGGGCTTCGTTCACGCATCAGTTCTACTGTGTTGGCCATGCGTTCCATGTTAATGAATCAGCAATATATATTAAACAAGGTGCATTTAAACAGAACATACATGAAATAAAATTACATGTTGAATGATTGGCAAAAAATGCTGTGGCCAGAGGCCCACAAGAAACTAATCTTATACTGTCGCTAGAAGCAATGGGTTCCATATTCACTGATTCAGCATTCAAAGTGATTTTTATATTAAATAGAACATAAATAAAGGGGGTAATGAGAATTGACTGCATTCAATTCCGCAATAGACGTGCAAAAGCAGCTGTGAACAATATGGAAACAATGTGCATGGCTGTGTTTGAATAAAACTTTATTTATAGAAATTGAAACTTGAGTTTCGTATAATATTTGTATGTCACAAAGTACTACTCTTGTGATTCCCCCCGCCCCCCTCTGTAACCATTTAAAAATATACAACCAGTTTTAACTCACTGGTCATACTAAACCCGGGAACAGACCCTTGCTTGCAGACTCCTGCTGTAGAGCCTTGTTTCGGATGAATCCCAGTCTCTGCTTTGGAGCAGTTGTCAGTTGATTAGGGAGACCCACAGTCTTGCTCTCTCGGAAGTTTCTAGCACCTCAGGGTCATCACTGTTACGGGGCCTGAGAACACGTGCGATGTCTGGGTCCGTGGGATGAATAGAAGCGACAGTACTGAAGGTGGAGTCCACACAGTTGGATTTGAAAGCCAGGGATATCACTTCTTAGCTGTTTGACCTGAGGCAACTTTCTCGCTCTGTCACCCTGAGTACAGTACAGTGGCATCATCATAGCTTACTGCAACCTCAAACTCCTGGGCTCAAGCCTCTTGCCTCAGCCTCCCAAGTAGCTGGGACTACAGGCACCCACCACCATGCCTGGCTAATTTGTCTATTTTTTGTAGAGACAGGTGGTCTCACTCTTGCTCAGGCTGGTCTCAAACTCCTGAACTCAAGCGATCCTCCCATCTCAGCCTCCCAGAGTGCTAGGATTACGGGCATGAGTCCCTGAGTCCGCCTGATTGAGGCAACTTTTCTAGCCTTTTATATAAGGCAGAGGAAGAAACCTGAGCGTCTCCCAGGTCTATAGGAGGGGCTCTGCAGAGGGAACTCTATATACCAGGCTCCCACTCCCACTGCCCAGTTACACGGTGTGCCTTCTAGCCCTGGCATTCCTTGGACATCATCCAACCCTCACACAGAGAACAAGCAGATACAGACACCTCTCATTCCTTTCTACCCTTCTCGACATTTCCAGGGGTAAGGGATACCATGCAACGTAACCAAAGCACCAACAGGAAGAGCTTTCCCTAAAACTGCCAGCTCCCATTTCTGTCTGCTCAAACACAGAGCACAAGGGAGGTGCCCCCAGACTGCCCCCACCTTGTTTAGGCTCATGTCAGTCAGATAATTTTCAGGCTCCGGCAGAAACCTGCTGGTGAGAAACTTCTCAAGTGTCACTGCTTACAAAAGAGGGAAGAAAATAGAAAAACTCTGTTTATTTTCCCGACCCAAAAGATAACATCACTCTGCCCTTTCTTTTTGTTTAAGGTTACGTTGGGAGCATTCCTTAAAAGTTGCCCAAGAAGAAAGTTTCTCAGACATTTTTGTCCTAGCAATTTGTGTTTTCATCCAAAATGGATTACTTGCAGTAATGATGATGATTAATATTATAAGAAACAATGCTAATGTCCCCATCTGTAAAATTGAAAACAATAGAAGCAAATAATAGAGAACAATAGAAAATAATAGATATAATAATATCCCTGGCTTTCAAATCCAACTGTCTGGACTCCACCTTCGGTACTGTCTGCTTCTATGATTTGGATCCCAATCCACCTGACCATTTAAAGTGATTTATATAATCTATGAAGGAATGTCATTATTATTATTACATTTAAGTGAGCATTATTTCACAAATTGCCATCATACTGGACTACGGAAACAATGGGTGACAAAATTAAGTCAGCACTTCTATCCCAAGGAATTCATGGCACTTTACAGATACGATCTCATTAATGTTTGCAGAGTAGAAATGCAATGATCACAAAGCTGGAGGTGACTTCAGAGAGCTCATCCAAGTCCTTAGTCTAAGAATGAGGAACCCGAGGTTCTACAAGCCACGGTGAGCTTGCACGTCTTGCAGAGAGAGAGAAGGGAATCCGCATGCGAGACTCAGCATTGGTCTGCAGTGGGCGTTTCTGCACTTTGGCTTGTGGGAAGCGCAGGAGGCGGGACCCGCCCTGCGCTGGTGTCTTCCCAGTGCGGACGCGACAGGAGACCACGAGGGGCGCAGCGGGCGAGCGCACAGTCACGTAGCCGCGACCCGTTCCGGGCCAGGTCGCTCTGCTCCACCGCGCGGACTTCTCAAGGTTAGCATTTTATGATACAGGTATGAGCTAGGTCCTTCTTTCATGACCTTAGTTGCAACTCTCTAGAAATGGATAGAAACTGGGACACTGACACATTTGTACTTGCTGCACTTCTCTAAGACAAAGAAGTGTCCCAGTGAGAGGTAGCAGGGTGCTCAGAAAGCATGAGTTTCTCTCCTGTTTTGCAGATACGGAAAACTTTATCGAGAACACAAAGGTCTAGGAGCCCCCTACCCCTACCCCCCCCACCTCCCTTTTCCCTCACCCCACCCCTCCACCCTGGCTCTGTGCCCATACCCCAAGCACTCCTGCAGCCCCACTGTTTTTATCTGGTGGGTTTAGGACTTTAAACAATGCATTGAAAGCTCACCTTGCATCTGCCATTCAACTGTGTCTTTAGCGAGTTGCTTTATGTCTTGGGAAACAGGGATTGCAACAGGAGGTGATCACAGGAGTGCCTCCAGGAAGGGCCACTTACTGTCACGTGCAAGGCAGCACCTCTGGGTTGCTGAGCCTTGATAAGGTTTAAGCTCCACCAAAAGCCCGAGGTCGCTTTCTATCCACCTTGCAACTGAAGCTGCTCAGGAAAACCTGCACGCCGTCGCGGTCTGCCTCCAGGGCGCCCCCTCCTGTGTGGTGAAAGGAAAGGGTTCCACTTGCACTTTGGTAATTCTTGAAGATGGCAGTTTTCCTGCCAGCAGAGATGGTTTTCAAAGCTCTGGCCATGGAGCACAGCCTTCAGAAGGACCCATCGCAAGCACAGTGTGTCAGCCAGCTCCCGGGGGGGCCTGCTCGGTCTGAAACAGGCACGTGGGGGTAGGGTGGTGATCGCAGCCCAGTTTTATCTTCTACACCCACTGGCAGGGGTGACGCCCTAGGGGACAGCTTGAAAATCCCTGTCTTCCAGGTTACAGTTAAGGGTCTTTAGTTTGCTCCTCAACGTTTGAGACATGGTCACAACCATTCCCCACCCTCCACCCCTCCCTCTCTGTGGTCCACACACATCAGGATGCACTCATCCCATTCCACGTGGTTCCTTCCCCTCCCCTGGTCCTGGATTCACCCTCAGGACTCTGCTCAAATGTCACCTCCCCTCTGTTATTCCTTCCTGGCTGTTTTCTCTAGTACACTGTGCATATCTTGAATGTGGCATCAGTTACTCTGTTGTCTGAGGTCAGTTTCCTCCACTGGGTCATGAATCTCTTGAAAACAGGAACTGGGGGTTACTCTTGCAAGGTTTAAGGGATGCTTTCAGAACGCTGGAGTGCTGGGGTGGGGGTTAGAGTTGAGAGAGGAAGCAGGACCCTCGTGGAGCTGACGTCACTTGTGCGTCCCACGGTGACCTTTCTATAGTGAATGAATCTCCAGAGAAACAGAACCAATGAAAGAGAGAAGCCAGAGCAGTTGTTCTGTTCACAGCCATGTCATTCATACCATTGCTGGGGAAATAAGTTGTTTTCCTGACATCGTCAGCTTTTGGAGTGACGATTTTAAGGCACCTTAAGCCAAAACCAAAATTAAATCCTTTGAATTTACTGTTCTTCCCACTGTGCCACACTGCTCCCCTTAGGAAATATTTCTCACCAGACCTTGGCGGTTTATTGCTGAAGCGATCCATCTGCTGTCCTCACAGCGTGGATGTCATGTGTTTGTGAATCCACTTGGTTTCCTCTCACACACTCACCCTCTATGTTCTGGGAATTAGGCTGGGGAAAGTTTCCTCTGCCTCACCAGCAACTGCTAGATTGTGCTTGCGTTAGTAAGCAGTAAACACGCTGGGTGTTCTCAGCAAAGCTCTCTCAATGCTTTATGCTTTGGCCAAAGAAAAAAAAAAAAAACTGAAATGTGCAACCTCAGCATTTTTCTATCTAATATTATCCGTGCTTACTGCCTTCCACGGAGGTCCTGTACAGATGGTTACAAAACGGGATGAATTTTTGTCTCAAAATAAAGGAGCTGATCTTACATAATGGAAATTATACATGGTTAGGATTTTAGCTTTTTTTAAATTTCTCCTCTCCAGGAGGTTCATTTACGCCCCCCCCCAACAAATAGGAAAAGTTGAAATAAAATATTTGAACAATTAAGGTTTGAGCCAAACACACAACTTTCATTGAGTTCACTTGATGTTGCTTTTAAACAACAACATGGTTTTGATTAGATCTTTCTGACCCTCTTCCACAACTACCACTAGCTACTGGTTCAGCCAGGGGTGATGGAGCCAGTGGTTTAGGAGGGTTCTCAAAGAGTGAAAGGAGACACAAATCAAGGCATCGAGCAGTCTCAGTGAGACAGAAAGTTCTATTGCAAGAAGCTAAGCAGTGAATCGCATTTGCAGAAACCAGAGAAAACTGGAGGCTGGAACACAAAGCAAAGAATCTAGAATGAATAGAATAAAAGGACCAGTTGGAACGCACCCTAGTTTTCCTAGCTTCCCTTTGCACTGCATGAGTTTACTGTAATGTAGAGGGTTTTCTGAAGAATGGACAAAGGAAAACTAGGCATATCTTACTCAGCTTTCCTTATCTTCTCTATAATTTCCTGCTAGCTGTAACTTAGACTGCTGCTCACCCCTACAGTGATCCAGCCAATAGCCTGGCAGGGCTAATTTCTCATGCATTACTTAACAATGCATGCTGGTAGTGTAACAACTAGATTGGGCA